AACCTTTTGCTTTCAGGTGTGTTTCTCAGCAGGAGTATGAAGTTATAATTCAGATCTATTACCAGACGATCGAGGTCTTGCCGAGAGACATGTGATGATGCAGTCCTTGTTATTATCCCCACAGAGTTACTGGCTGAAGTTTCCCTTATCTGACCAACGGAGTGTTTTTCTTCAGGTTTGCTGTCGCGGCAGCATTTCAGGGTTTCATAAATCAAGATTTCAGAAGAGGTTACTTGTTGTCGAAACGGGTGTCGGGCAGTTATTTTCAGAATATCCCCAGTGGAGTTAGCTACTACCGCGAACAGGCTAGGAAGTTATATCCAGTGTTATCTTTTCCCGTAAGAATCAGGCGGAAGAACTTTCCTGTATGTATCAGGCAGATGTGTTATCTTTTCCCATAAGAATCAGGCGGAAGAACTTTCCTGTATGTATCAGGAAGATGTGTTATATTTTCCCGTAAGAATCAGGCGGAAGAACTTTCCTGTATGTATCAGGCAGATGTGTTATCTTTTCCCGTAAGAATCAGGCGGAAGAACTTTCCTGTATGTATCAGGCAGATGTGTTATATTTTCCCGTAAGAATCAGGCGGAAGAACTTTCCTGTATGTATCAGGCAGATGTGTTATCTTTTCCCGTAAGAATCAGGCGGAAGAACTTTCCTGTATGTATCAGGCAGATGTGTTATCTTTTCCCGTAAGAATCAGACGAAAGAACTTTCCTGTATGTATCACGCAGATGTGTTGTATTTTCCCGTAAGAATCAGGCGGAAGAACTTTCCTGTATGTATCAGGCAGATGTGTTATCTTTTCCCGTATGAATCAGGCGGAAGAACTTTCCTGTATATATCAGGCAGATGTGTTATCTTTTCCCGTAAGAATCAGGCGGAAGAACTTTCCTGTATGTTTCAATTGCATTGTCATTTGCATACTAAGTCATGTACATAGTCTAATCATTTGCATAACATAGCATAACAAGGCATCTAACAAGGGATCAAGTGTCATTTTCATCAGAAAGAGGCCCATCAAGGGGTTTTATTCAGGATCAAGACCATCCAAGTAATCAAGAAATGAGTTGAAGCTTTGAGAAGTTTGAAGGTCAACCAGTAGATTTCTCTCCCAATCTGGGGGATATGTTGAAGATCATCAATGAGTGTGTGAGCCATGGAAGGTGTACAAAGATCATGGAATACCTAGAGGGTCATTTTGAAGATGAGACAAATCATTAATACAAGTACCAGAGCTACAGTTGAATGCAGTCAACTAGGATTTCATCTGGGTCAACCCTAGGTCAAATGGTTGATTGAAGAGCATCAAGGATTAATTGAAGAATGTGGGATTCATGAATTAATATGTGGATACATGTGTGGTGTCATGTCAAGGAGAAATCACATAGAAATCAAGAAGAAGAGGAGTTGCTGAATTAGGGTTTCAGTGTAAAATCCCCTAATTTAGGCCCAACTTCCAAGCAAGATAAGTCAAAATACAAGCTTCAAATGAATTCTTGGTCAACGTGAAACTTGTAGAGAATCTCAATAGCTTTAATTTGAGTACTAGAAGTCTTCAAGGAGATTTATAGAACTCAAGTTATGGTTCTTGCAAGTTATGGGTCCCCAGAGGATACTGAAATTTATCTGTGAAAGTCACTTGACTTCCAAGCAACTTTTTCCCATCAAGGAATTTTCAAATGGATTCTTGGACAAAATAAGAGTTGTAGATCTTGATCTTAGCTTTAATTTGAGTACTATAAGTCCTCAAGGGGATTTGTAGAATTCAAGTTATGGTCTTGGCAATCCAGGGGTATTTTGGGAAAGTTGAATTACAGGTCATTTTTTAGCATAGGTCAAAATCTCCATGTTCCACTTCTCAAATGAAAAATTGTTCAACATGGAATGTGCTTAAAATGATGTTTTTAGGTCAATTAAGTCATCATGGTGGATTGATCGGTTTATTTCAAAAAGTCACTTAAAATGACCTAAAAAAAGGGAATAAGTCAAATAAAGTTTGGTGGAAAAAATCAAATTTTGGGTTAGAGGTCACAAACAAGCCATATGACATACCAATTTGATTGTAAAATGCATTTTGAGAACATTGACATTGCCACAATTTTGAATTGAGGATTATTTCAAGGACTTGCTTTGTAAATGGGCTACTTGCATCATAAGTCACATATGCAAAACCACACTTCCAAGCAAATGCAAGGCTCCTTTCCATCCATACACCTCCAATATCTCATTTGGAGAGAATTTAAACTCATAACCAAGTGAATTGCAAGCAAAAACATGAGATGGTATGTGCATAGCATAAGAAGAGATTTTCATGACATGAGAAGTTGATTTTCTCATTGGATCAATCTAGAACTTTCTAGGGTCTTCAAATACATTCTATATATACTTGTGAAGAGGTTTAGAGCAAGAGTTGGTGATTCATTTGTGCAAAAACCATAGATTGACATTGGAGTTTGGAAGAGAAAAAGTGAGAGATCAAAGTTGGATTCAAGGCATTTTCAAGAGTTATCAAGAATTTAATCTTCTCCAACAAACTTCAACAAAGGTTTTCCGCACTTTTTGGCAAGAAAAAACGAGCTCCAACTACTCCGTTTCGACGCTCCGAAGCCGGTATGTGAAATTCACTTTTTCTATGATTTTAGTTTAGATAGATGGCGACCATTTGGTCCTTATGAAAATCTAGAAATGTCATTCTTTTTAAAGGAGCTTTTTGTGTGATTTTGGACTTGTCGTGAAAATTAAATTAATGGCTTCGAAGTGGTCTATTCTAGGAAATAATCCTTATCCCAACGGTAATTTCTTTAGTTTTTGTCACGAGCATTTGTCCTGTCTGGAATAGTTTTCTGTTGGTTTGGATTTTTCCATTTCTCGTATCGCTTTCAGAACTTCTTGTTGTATCAAAGATTAGAGAACCCCTAATACCCTCTTATAATACACATTGCTTAAAAAAATACGGTTGTACAATTCGCATTAAAGTATTCAAAGTATAATGAAGAAAATTCACAGTTAATATCAATTTATAATAATTACTGGAGGCAAATTAAATATAAAGATTAGTCTAAATTCACACCCTTTAAATTTTATTAGTGTCATCTTCATCAATATCTTCTTTATTCAATGGTTGCAACATCCTTTCAACCACCACAAATATCCAACACAATATACCCAAGATAAGGATAAATTAAGTGAACAATTGCAGCCATTAATGGCTGCATATGCTTTTTTTAAGGGTTGAAAATAGAGATAGCATAATAAAAGAGTAATGCAGCCAAGCCTAGGTTGTTTGATTAGAGACGAAAGTGGCGTAAATAAACTAAAATGTAGGCTAATTGAATGTAACGGAGGCGTTGGTATTGACTTCCAACTACTCGACGCCTCCTTCCAACCACAAAATACAACTATCTCTTAACCTTCTTTACGTTACTCATCACACCCAACTTTCTTATTCATTCATCATATGTGTTTTATTTATTTAAATTTCTAGGGAATTTTTATTCATCTTAGATATAGGTTGTAAGTTGTAACAACATATATAGAAAATAAATATCAAAATTCTATTAAGTTTCACGTTTATGGATTTGGAATCATGATATAAGTCTTTGTAAAAAAATGAGTTTAAATATTAATATTTAGGTTTTGATTTATGATTTTTCTTGATTTTTTAAAATGTTATTAGATGTTTAAGAAAATTAATTTTATTTCATTTTAAAATAAATTATCAATTTATATGAAAAACTAGTAAAAAAATATAGTAGTAAAAGAATCAAACACATACATGATCGTTAACATGATAAAATAGACTAAAATTGCTAATGGAAAAATTCTATATATTAAAACTCAAAGAAATTTTTTTAAAGTTTATACTAATTTAACTCACAATTAAATAAAAATTTCTATAAATAATATTTAAACCTACCATACTTTATACAATGTGATGGATCAAAAAAAAAAAGAAAACATAGTTAGACATGAAAATTAATTTTTAAAAAATAATAACACTTTTTAAGATATACAAGTGACAAATAAGCAAGTCTACTCCGATTAAGCTTGTCCTGTAGAAATCAGAAGAAAAAAAATAAGTAAGATGAATTTAATTGAAGATGCAAATTTAAAATTTAAATCTGCTTAAAAAAAAGTGAGGATAGAGGGATCAAAACTTGCGGACATAATATTTTTTAAATTTAAAAATACAAAAATTTATGTAATATTTACGTCCGCAAAAATTTGTAAAAAAAATCAATAGAACAGAACGGTCTAATTAAAAGATAAAGACCTAATTTTTAATCCGCTCTATACCAAAATGCACGTAAAACAGACAGTTCCTACATTGCTACATTTTTCTTTGAGTTTATAAATAAAGTTTTTAATAATGAAAGTAAATATATAATACCATAACACATAAATAAAAGTAATGACTTTCCAGAAAAATACAATGATCAATTAAAGGGTGTGCATACAATAGACAAGAGGAATTTTTTAGTAAACATATATTTTAAAATATCGTAGGCCATGAATAGTACCATACAATAATTTAATTTTATACTATACTATACAATATTTAATGTAGTACGTACCAGCTATCATTATATTCCAGAAAATTATTGCTGCCCATATTCATAATTTCTTCAACTGTATTCCATTTTCTAAACAAAGTTAAAAAATTATGAATGATAAATACAAAATGTGTTAATAATTCATTTTTTCTAAAATAATTTTTAAAAAGTTTAGGGACTAAAAATTAATTACATTATTGTTTAAGCATAGTCATTGTGTGAGACATATGGTGTGGTCTCCCCCACTCTATCCTTCCCCATTTATTATAACTCATGCACAACAATAGGTCAACAACATCACATTTTTCTTCCCCCATTTCTTTTAAAAACACCTCCTTCTTCTTTTCACCTCATAACATTTCTAACTTTTCTATATAACTCATTCACTTTACTCACCCATCTTCTCAGCCTCACCTCCCATTTTCTTCTCCATACATAATAACCATGGGAGCTTTTCGCCATTTCGAACCAATCTCGAAATGCAACAAGACACAAGATAGATCAAACCAAACCATTGCGTCCGACTTAGACGGCACGCTTCTTATATCTCGGAGCGCTTTTCCTTACTACATGCTTATGGCTACCGAAGCGGGTAGTTTCCTAAGAGGACTCATCCTCTTAATCTCCGTTCCGTTCGTCTACTTCACGTACCTTTTCATCTCTGAAACCATGGCTATCAAGACACTGATCTTCATAACCTTTGCAGGTCTGAAGATCAGTGATGTTGAAATGGTTTCAAGGTCGGTGTTGACGAAATTCTATGCCGAGGACGTCCGTCCTGAGGCTTGGAATGTGTTTAGCTCTTTCGGCAAGCGTTACATTGTGACGGCTAGTCCGAGAGTAATGGTTGAGCCATTTGTTAAGAATTTGTTGGGAGGTGATAAGGTTATCGGTACTGAACTTATGGTGACGAAATCGGGTAGAGTGACTGGGTTGGTTATGGAACCTGGTATTCTTGTTGGGGAGCTTAAGAAAGATGCTGTTGTCAAAGAATTTCATGATTCTAATTTGCCTGATTTGGGACTGGGAGATAGTGAAAGTGATCATGAATTCATGTCAATTTGCAAGGTTAGTATAATTAAAGTTTCTTTCACTAAATGTTTTTTAATTACATTTGTTACGATGTTATAGCAAGCAATTCTAATTATGAATCAAATTTAGCTATGGACAGTGTTAATAAATTGACATCAATATTCTATAATTATATTAGTAATTCAGTTATTCAGTTAATGTTGTTTTTATTAGTATTTTTCAACTTAAATTCTATTTTTGGAAGAAGGTGACAGTTATGAGCTTTTAGTGGACTGTTTCTTAGCTCAATCCAGCTAGAGTATTTATAATTTCAAAAAAAATTAATGAAAAATATGTACTATAGTTTTTTCTAAATTTAAATTTTGTTTGGTGAAAGAATTAATGGTTATGACATGTTTTTATTTGCCATAATGAGGCTCTCTTCCTCTTCAAGTTTTGTTTGTAGTCTCTTATGGCATATAGGTAAAGACATGGTTATAAATCATGTTTAGTACTCTATTTACCGTGGTAAATAATATTGTTAATGTGGTAGTTTATGCAACCGTATTAAACTGTAATTATAGTGTGATTTAAAATCACGTATAACCCATGATGTAATGAAAAATAATTATATTAAATATTTTTCAATTATTTATTTCACTGAAATTTACGCTGCAATAAACGTTGCAGCAATCGCAATGATGAAAATCACAACACTCGCGATTGCAATCGAAGCAACTGCAATTGCATATCATATAGATGTGCAGAGTTCTATGTGTCAGTCATATATTTACCCCTATTGGTCCCTCCATGAACCCGGTCTGAATCATATATTTTTTTCATATACTTACCCCTATCAACATGTGGTCCCTCCATGTTCTATTCATTACTCATGCATACATTTTACATTTCTGAGTCTTTGATATGCCACTCTGTTTTTCAGTTAAGTAGTTCTACTTCTTCTCTCTCTTATAAATCATAACTCTTAACTACTTTCAAACACATATTATTGTGACTTATAACTCATTCATGAACCAAAATTATTTTCCAAATTTTAGGCCTATCATCACATACACAAACTTCTCATGTCTAACCACTTTGAACATAAAATCCAAACCATTTTTTGTTCTCACGTAAATGATATTCAAAGAGTGCCAATAACCAATTGAACCAACTAGAAAAATAGTTCAAAACTCAAATCACACCAAGTTTAAATTATAAGTTGAACCGAATTGTTTGTAAACTTCAATTCAGACAAATTTTTCTGAAAAAACATTCATAACAAACTTGAATCAAAATAATTCTTTTAAGTCAAACCTAGAATAATCAATTTTGACTCAACTCAACTTATTAAACTTCTAACCAAATCATTAACTACTACATTATTTTGCAGGAAGCATATATGGTTCCAAGAACTAAATGTGATCCACTACCAAGAACAAAGCTTCTAAGTCCAATTATTTTCCATGAAGGTAGATTTGTTCAAAGACCAACCCCAATTATTGCCCTATTAACATTCCTATGGTTCCCAATTGGCATCATACTTTCCATCTTTAGGGTATACCTTAACATCCCATTACCAGAAAAAATCGCTTGGTACAATTACAAACTCTTAGGAATCAAAGTAATTGTTAAAGGCACCCCTCCTCCACCACCAAAAAACGGCCAAAAAGGTGTCCTATTAGTTTGTAACCATCGCACAATTTTAGACCCTGTGGTTACAGCCGTTGCACTAGGGAGAAAAATCAGTTGTGTCACATATAGTATTAGCAAATTCAGCGAAATAATTTCGCCGATTAAAGCCGTGGCACTCTCAAGAGAACGAGAGAAAGACGCGGAAAATATAAGAAAATTACTCGAAGAAGGCGACTTAGTGATTTGTCCAGAAGGAACGACTTGTAGGGAGCCGTTCCTTCTACGTTTCAGCGCGCTGTTCGCTGAATTAACGGATAGGATCGTCCCGGTCGCGATCAACACAAAACAAAGTGTGTTTTATGGTACTACCGTTCGGGGACATAAAGTGTTGGATCCTTATTTCGTGTTCATGAATCCTGTGCCGACTTATGAGATCACATTCTTGAATCAACTTCCTAAGGAGTTAACATGCAGTGGTGGAAAATCGGCTATCGAAGTTGCGAATTATATTCAAAGGGTTATTGCTGGAACACTTGGATTTGAGTGTACTAATTTAACCAGGAAAGATAAGTATGCTATGCTTGCTGGAACTGATGGAAGAGTTGCATCTAAGAAGGAGAAAGCTTGAAGTAGAAAAGGGAAGAAAAAACGTTCCCTTTTGATTTATTTTTATATAGCTACCAAATTAATGTGTTTTTGCATGTTTAGATTTTTATGATAGTAATAAAAACTTATTGTGATGATGCACATGAAAATAACATTTTGTGTGTTTGGTTACTATGATATATATTATACGAATTATAGTTTTTTATTATTGGGTCAATTCATGAACTATTTTGTGCAATTTTGTGTAGTTTAAGAGCATGTGGTGGATAAGCTAAGATAGGATACAATTTTTTTTATATCTAAATTTGGTAAGCCAGCATAGTAGAATGAGTGAGTACATGTTATTGTCTTTATTATGTCACATGATCTTGATTCTTAAGTGTAACTAAGATGTAATAGAGTGGGAGAATATTCAATATCTCTTATTAAAAATTCAATGTTTGAGTTCAAGTCGTTGATGAGTTATAATTAACGGGTGGGTGGGTAGCTCAATGTTATGTGCCCCTAGAGTTAAATGGTTGTAAGATGTTATCCTATGAAAAGAGCTATGCTATTTTTACACTCATTTTTTATATTATATATTTATACGAAATAATACTTATCATATTTATACGGTAAATAGTATTTTTATTTTTTTAATAAATAAAAATGATATTTATAATATGTGAACAGTGTATGAATAGTGCGCAAAACAGTCTTTTTAAAATAGTGAAATAAGATTGATTAATGAAATGTAAAAAATTGGTTAATGAAATGATGAAGTTGGTTAATAAACGTTCAGATGTTAAAAATAATTTTTAGCGATAAATCAAAATTGGTTAATAAAATATAAAAAGTTGGTTAATGAAGTTATGAAGTTGGTTAATCCGCGTCCAGATATTAAGAATAATTTTTAACAGTCAATAAAGTTGGTTAATACAATGTATAACGTTGGTTAATAAAGTTATGAAGTTGGTTAAACACACAATTTTATGTCAATATCATTTAATTTAAAAATTAAAAATATAAAAAAATATTAAAATATTTTTTTTATTATTTATTTTTTTAAAAAATATTATATTAATATTTCACTGTTCATCGTACATATGAACAGTGAAATACGGTATAGGTGTATGATTTTGGTGTAGGAATAACATTTTTGATTATGAAAATTACATTTCATCTTTGGTTGTGAAAAGATTTTCACTTCGGTATTGACGCAACAAAAGTTGTTATGAAAAGTGTGTTTTTTTTTTCTTTTTGATTATTGGTCGATGAAAAAAATTGGAAAGTGTGTTATTTTTTTCATCAATTGAACGTGCCAACTGAAGTGAAAAGTGTCATTGATTATAGATTTTATTTTTAGTAAATACATGTTTGTGATTTTAAAATGGTATATTTGGATGAGAACTGGGTCACTTTCTCTCTCGATTGAAATAACAACCAAGGTGAAAAACTGCAACACTCAACCTTTTCTTTCTAGTGAGACTTTTAACCAAGAAAAATGTGATGGAGTCACTTTTTTCTTTAGTTGAGAGGTCTAACCGAAGAGAAATCCATTGTTTTTTTAAAATATAAATATATTATTTAAAATTTACATATTTTTCAATATAACATTTATTATTTAGCCGAACCCAAATGACAATTTTTGTATCAGATTTTAACCAAGCATAAATGACACTTTATTTGTGAAACAAAACTATATATTATGTATCTAAAAGGCACATGTCTTGTATCAAAACTATACATTATTTACATCATTTCAATATGTCATACATTATATACCAAAATTATACCACATTTACATCGAAACCAAAATGTCACACATATTATATCAAATGATTTACAAACAAAGAAATAACCAACAAGTAAAACTGGGGTGCAATTGACTCATAAACCTCAATGAAACAAGATGCATAGCGTGAAGTGACATCTTTTATGTCTTCTTCTGTGAATGATGTTTAGTTGTTAAACATTTATAAGTTGAATGAAATGTAAAAACACTTAGAAATAATAACAAATTAATATTGGAAATTCGTCAAATTCTCAATGTGGAATTTCACCAAATTTTGAAGAATTCTGAATCAATCTTGATGAACAAGAAACATTCCTTCTTATTGATTACTCTTCTTGATTTTCACTCTTCACTCGGAAAAATTAACCAACCTTGATTGCAAGATGATATTGCTGCACAATGATTATTAAAAGAAGAAAATACGAAAAATTACAGTTTTAGAGAAGTGGAAGAAGCAGTATTGTAAAATCTGCAGAGAAACTTATGATCTTTATTTCTATGTAACTGCATTCATTGTGTGTTACAAACAATGATAGTGGACCTCCCTATTTATAGACTGAGATTGTTTACACACCAAGAAATCTCCAACTAACCTAATTAACTCAGCTAAAAGTCACAAATAAAGCTAAGTCTACACTTTGATAACTAATCTAATTTGACACCTATATCATTTCGACAATAACTAACTATGTCAAAATTATTCTATGACACAAAGAATTACACTTTCAACAAACCACATAATTCATTGTGTCTAAGCTATATACATTCATCATAGATCTTAGTTTCTTGAACACTTCGACCTGCATTACTTTTGTCATGATGTCTGCAATCTGATTCTCAGTTCTGCAGTGTTCTAAGTTCAACTTTGCTTTTGCCACTTGCTCTCGAAGATAATGAAAATTCATTTTGATGTGTTTTCTTCTTCCATGTGCTATTGAATTCTTAACCAGGTTGATAGCAAACATGATGTCGATATATATGGTAATTGCTTCATGATTCTTCCCTGTAATTTGTTCGACCAAATTCACCATCCATATTGCTTGACATGCACAAAGGGAAATAACTATGTACTCTGCTTCACACGACGACAGTGTTACTACTGGTTCTTTTCTGGAACTCCAAGAAACCATTGTACCACCTAGCATAAACACATAGTCACATGTGTATTTACTATCCTTAGCATCATTAACCAACTTGAGTCAGTGTAACCAACTAGTTTGCATTCTTTTCCTTCATCAGTTGCAGGAAATAAAATGTCATAGAAAAAAAGTTCCTTTCAGATACCTTAGTATCCTCTTTATCACTGCTAGGCATGATACCTTTGACTTCTGCATGAATCTGCTCACCATATCTACAAAATAAGTTAAATTTGGCTTTGTGTGACAGATGTATCAAAGTGATCTAATGAGTCTTCTGTACTGCATTGGGTCAACATAATCTTCTTTTGAGTTTTTTCGAAAATTGTAGTCTTGGTTCAGCAGGTATCAAAGTCGAATTTCATTCTTCCATCTCACATCTCTTGAGTATCTCGCTTTCATATCTTCTTGGATGCATCCACAAGCCTCTACTGCTCTTGTAGAATTCGATGCCAAGGAAGTATGAAATGTCGCCCATATCATACATTTTGAATTCCATATTAAGATCACATTTGAAGTTTTTGATTTCTTTCTTGCAACTACCTGCTATTAACAAGTCATCGACATATATACACGGTATAATCAATTCACTCTTACTTCTTCTTACGTATACTCCATGTTCAGTTGTGCACTTCACAAATTCTTTCTCCTTTAGAAAGTCATCTATTTTCTTATTCAAAGCTCTTGGAGCTTGCTTAAGTCCATACTAGCTTGATGCAACCTGTATACCTTGCTTTCTTCTCCTTATTTCATAAACCCAACTGGTTGTGCAATATAAACTTCTTCATTTAAGGGGACATTCAAGAATACACATTTCACATCCATCTGACACATATTCCAGTTGTTCATGTTTGCTAGACCAACAACCAACCGAATTATTTCAATTCTAGCAATAGGTTAAAAGACTTCGTCAAAGTCGATTCCTTCTTTCTGAAGAAATCCTTTCGCCATAAATCTTACCTTGTGTAGAGTTACTTCTCCTTTCGGATTCAAATTCACCTTTTATACCCACTTCACATTGATTTCCTTCTTACCTTGAGGCAATTTGATAAGTGACCAAGTGTTGTTGACTTCGATGGACTTCATTCTTCATTCATTTCTTTCATCCACTTCAAATCCTTCTATGCCTCAACTGTATTGAATGGTTCGATATTTTCATATAAACTACAATATGCCAGCTCACCCTATTCATTGATCATATCATCTGATGTAATCACACATTCATGCAACCTTGTAGGCATTTGTCTTATTCTTTGAGGTCTGCTCGGCTTTCTTGACCTCTGACTTCTTCTTGACTTCTCTTTCAAATTCACTTGCTGGTTCTACACTTAGAATTCTCACTGAGTCCTTCTTGACATTTTTAGTCCAATCTCATTCCTTAAGATCATCTATGATCACGTCCTTGCTGATCACTACTTGCTTGTTCACTAGATCGAACAACTTGTATCCTCCAGTCGAATGATATCTTATTAGGATCATTTGTTTCGACTTGTCATTAAGTTTTATTCTCAACTGATCAGGAACATGCCTATATGCTATAGATCCAAATACCTTCAGATGACTTAATCTAGGCTTGACACCAGACCAACATTCTTCTGGCATGATTCCTTCTAGCCTTTTTGTCGAACATCTGTTCAGAATATATGTTGCGGTTTACACAGTTTCTCTCCATAAATCTTTGGGTAGATGTTTTCCTTTCAATATACTTCTCGCCATATTTATGATGGTTATATTCTTTCTTTTTGTAGTTCTATTCTACTATGGAGTGTATGGTGGCACCACCTCATGCACAATCCCTTCTTTCTCACATAACATGTTGAAATATTTTGACACATATTCTCCACCACCATCAGTCCATAGAATCTTGAGCTTTCGACCAATTTTTCTTTCGACCATATATTAAAATTTGGAAAATATATTAGTCACTTCACTTTTCTTCATGATTAGGTAAGTCCACATTTTTTGACTGAAATCATCTACGAAAGTGACAAAGTATATGTTGAAGGTGAGATAATACTTAGAAGGGGGGGTTGAATAAGTATGAAAGATTAAGACTTTAAAAATAATGACACAATTATTTTTATCCTGGTTCGTTTAAAACAACTAATCCAG